GCGTGAGCGTAATCAGTTCTTGTTTTGCCAAAAAGACGCTTTCCAAACTACGGATTTTCCTCATTTAAAATGTCAGCTTAAGCCAAAAAAATTTGGCACAGCATGTTTGTAAAGATTTTCCAAGTTTCAGCCGACGAGGGAATGGGTAAAAGAGGTAAACTTGTGGAGTTTTCAACTCAAAAACGTTTTCAAATTCGTGCTTGCTTGATTAGCGGGTAAAGCAAAGAATATTTCCCTTTCTTCCTACTTCTGGTCCTTAGCGGCCTCTACTTCACGTATTTCTAGTTGACCGGTATTAAGGCTTTGAGTAATGTAGTTTTATATTGGATACATTCGTTTTCTAAGATCTCAAAAACGGGGATTTCTATGATTTAGTTCTAAACGGATTTTCATCAAGTATTTTGATGGAAAGTGGTATACAGTTTCAAATTAAGGTGGCTCGATAGGATTTTTCGCGGGTGATACCCCCCAAGTTTGAGCATAAACTACGTCGCCATTAACAAAGATTTGTATAATTACCACTACAGATTTATTAGATAAAAACGAAAATTTTTTATGGTCAAGGTTACAACGACATCGGAGTTGACATAGCAACGAAATGACGCCATTACCTATTTTACTTGCAGCCTTATTTCTTGGTACTGGGAACTGTTTTTTCACAATCGTTCACGGGAACTCGTTCCTCCAATAGCCGCCTTGATGTTCGTGAAGTTTAAGCGAAATCTGCAAAAGCGTTCTCGAGATATTTTGGTATAAAGTTTTTATAGTTAGAAATACGGTAAAAACCGGACAATCTTAATGTTCGACGGTTGTTTTAAACGCTTTTTAAAGGCAATTTCACTTCATATTACAGTGAAACCTCTATTAAGCGGGCACCTTCGGGACCTTTCCAAGTGTCCGCTTAATAGAGGGTGTCCGCTTAATGGAGGTTGTAAAAATTGCGCAATGTTTGTTAACGATCAACATTCAACGGTTAATCTGTCCTGTGATAAAGTTGCATGTTGTTAAAGAAGTTATCCAGAGTTCAAGCTCATTACCTTTCATTACCAACTTTAATTTGTTTGTAAATGCAACGTATTTCAAGGACGTAATCCAATACTATTGTCAATTCAGTCCGGTGTCCGTTTAATAGAGGTTTTTAACAATAGAAATTAGCCAGATACAATTTATTTTAGAGTCCTCGTTGACCTCGTCCGCGTAATAGAGGCCGCTGAATGGGTGTACGATATAAAGGGAAATATGAGACGTTAATTTCGGAACCCAGCTTAGTGTCCGCTTAATTGGGGGTCCGCTTAATAGAGGTTTCACTGTAGTTCCAATCTTTTTAAAACGTGTGTTAAAGATCATGGAGAAAGCTCTAGCCGATTGCTAGAGAGAAAGATTTAATTAGTATGCATCGAGGCGCTCTTGTCAGCGGTTTCGTAAACATTCTGGTCTACTTTAACAAACAAGCGAATACTAATTTTGAAACCACTCGATATTTTTTTCAACAATTTGAGACTCTCAAGATTAACTGTCGTTTTATATGTCCTTTAACTCAGTTTGATTTCAAATGCACTGTTAGTTACTGCTGTTCATGTGGAACTGAAACTTGGAGACAATACCCCTGAATAATGGGAGGCTCTCACTTGTAAACACGAAATTGAAACTACTCTGAGGTGAAATTGTATTTCCAAAGCGCTTCGTCTTCTAAAGTTAACGGCTGAACATTAACTGATCATCATCATCATCATTATTATTACTGTTGTTGTTGTCGGTGATGATACTTATTATTGGGCTTACTTGTCCTCCGACCATCCGTTTCAAGTTTGTAGCAAAGTGCGACAGATTTCTTATTACAAAGTGCGACAGCTTTTTTATTACAAAGTGCAACAAGTGTTATTACAAAGTGCGACAGGTATTACAAAGTACGACAATTTTATTACAAAGTGCGACAGAACATCCCTCCACTTACCTCGGTTAGCCTCAAACTGGTCGTCACTTCCTCTCACGATTGCCATTTCCCTGGCAGTACCCACAGAAAAAATTTAAATTTTTTGACCAAAAATACACTGCCCATTTCACTGTTCACTGCAACAGCGCGGGACGCCACTGCGCAGGCCTTAACAGTCCCTCCCCCCATGAGAGAAAGATCAGCACACCGGGGACTACGTAAGAGAATCTTTTACAAGGGTAATATATTTTTCTTTTCCTTTATCTTTATAGCAAAGATGGGTGACGGTTTTGTCTCCAGAATACCCAACTCTGGAGTCCCATGCAAGTGTAACGTGTAACAAACCCATTTGGCAAAAGAGCTTTAATAAACCTTCTCAGGCAATTTGCTAAGGTTTTTCACTTTTATTGTGGTATAAAGAAAAGTAGGAAACTTAACAGGTATCTTAGTCCTAGGCCATGTGTCGAACTTTTCATGAGACGAACAAAGCTTAGTGAGTTTTAATTCACTATTTCATCAACAAACTTAAAAGTCTCAGTTTCTCGTTTGCTCTTGGAATTTAAAGTTCATGAAAGTTCGACGTCTGGTTCAGATAAGTTCGTCTGAATAAGTTTAGATCGTTCAACACGTTCTCTCCTTCTGCTTCAGATGGATATTAGAACGTCTGAAGATCGTCTCTGAGACAACTGTCGATCTCCAAATGCGACGAACTAAACTAATAAATTACAAATCTGTATGCATGATAATGTATTGATTTAGCCTCGTTCCTGGGAAAATTGATTTAAATTGCTTTTTGGTATGATTCAGTTGAATTGTTCTAATAACATGTGAAAGTAACGTCAAAGAATTTCCGATTGAATTGTCATTTTAGGGGAACGTTTTTGCGCATTCCTAAAATTCTAAAACTTGTTTACTTTTGAACAAATGTGCTGTTAGCATATAGGCAACGGGCAACGGGGAACGAGAAACGAGCGCGGGCTCATTTCCCGAAGAGAGCCTGGTGATGGAGCCAAATTTTCTCGAAGCAGATTCAAGTTCAGGTATGACGTCATAGCTTTAGTTTTGATTGTGGTTGACTTGCTTCAGCTATCTTTTTTTCAGTATGTTATGCTCAATACAGGTGTGGCAGTATGTTGCGTTAATGAGACGAATATATTTAATTGATTGTCCTGGAGTCGTTTATCCGAGTGAAGATTCGCAGACCGATATCACACTCAGAGGCGTGGTGAGTCTAATTGCCAAGGGTTAACACACCTTAACGGGAAAGGAAGCAAAAATAAGAATTAATAGATACAACAACAGTGCTTATCAAACTCTTTTCGACTCTTCTGTTATTAAACGACTACGAGGTGAAATTTCCTCGTTGGCATTTCATGGCATTTCAATTTTTAAATGTTAATGCGCTTCTTAAGTATTTTGTTCTGAGAAAATTTGCCTCTTATTTGCCTCCTGTATTTAATAAATCGAGGCGAGAGGGAGTGACATAATTGCGAAAAAGTCAGTGTTTTGAAACTAAAGACCGCATTATTGCTGCCGTCACCTTCGTAGTTGCCTAACGCCGCTATTGACTCATGGCGTTTTTTCCTTTTGAAACTTTCGTTGCCGCATGAGAGTTTCTTACCAGGGTAACATATTTTTCGATCTTAAAGAGCAATGTTAATTTAAAACAAAGCCCCGCAATAAGTGTCAACTTATATCGAATGGACTTTGTCTTGGTTTTGTCTTTGCATCTATCTGATTGGTTCAAAAATATTTCGAAAATTAAGACGAGAATTTGCCCCAAATTGTGTTACCTGAACTTGTCAGATCAACCAAAAAAAAACTTTTATTCAACATGACTTACTTCTCTCTTTTGAACTGCCAAGAAAGTGAAGCACACGTCATCCCGCAGATGACAACACTAAAAAAATTCCAACTGTCACTAAGGCACGCGCATGGTAGTCATGCGGCACGCGCTGCTTACTCTCCGGAACAGTATATTTTTCAGTGTTTGTGCTTTTTTGCGAGATTTTATTCAGGATTTTACTTTTCATATGATACCAGAGTAATGTCAAACGTTATAGTTAAACAAGAAGGTGAATTTGTTTGCTCACTGGGAAGATCCGGATTTATGCGCGTGCTTCCATTAAAAACAACCGTGGAGTCTTTCTGACGACATTTCGAATGAGATGACAAAACAATGAAAAACAAGTTTATTCATTTCAGTAAGAAATCCAAGACATGGCGTCCGACAAGTCCGAATGGGAATTGAGTGAATTTGGTAATCTTATCGAAACAGAAAATGAGAAATACGGCGAAATTATTCAGATTGCTGAGCGAAGGCGCACAGCGGAAAAATATGTCAAAATCAGAAAAATTCGTCAAGAAATGACATGGGGTGTGCGACTCACCAAGACGCTTATAATCTGCTATTGTGGACCCTACGTCGCTTACAAGGAATCTATCCTGGCAGAGTTGGTGCCACCTTTTCAATTCTATCTACGAGACAAGCAATTCTACACCACATATAAAGGCACTCCCTTTCGCCTACCTGATGGTTACACTTTTAAGTTTTATGAGAATGCGGTAGAGTGCTGGCATCACAATGCCATTCTTTCCGACGAGAAACAAATGAAGATTCTTGCGAGGTACAACTTTGACAAATTTTGTCAGAGGGCTTGAGACAATCGGCGAACCCACAGCGGCGACAAAACAGTATGACTACGACACCTGCGTGTCCAGTATCTCCCCATTCACCGAAAGTGAAGATGAAGAAGGCCAAACAGATGACAAAGATGAGCGCAGTGAAGGAGAAGAACAAGAACATTCTATCAATAAGATCTTTCCCTTCAGTTTCAGTGGTGATGAAGAAAGCGAATCCGATGACGAAGTTGATCGCAGTAAAGGAGAAAAACAAGAACATTCTATCAATAAGATCTTTCCATTTAGTTTCAGTGGTGATGATGAAAGCGAATCCGATTCGAAATCAGACTGCAGTGATGAAAGTAAATCTGTCGCTGAATTCGATGACGGGGATGAACCTGTTGAGGAAGAAGAACATGACCAGTCTGATGATGAACTCCTGCTGATGGTCACTCCGTTCAGCGAAAGTGACAATGAAGAAAATGAATCTTATTATGAATCAGATGACGAAGATGAGCATAGTGAGGGAGAAAAACAAGACAATTTTATTGTTGAGACCTCTTCATTCAGGGAAAGTGTTTATGAAGAAAGCGAATCCGATTCGGAATCAGACTGCAGTGATGAATATAAATCTGTTGCTGAACTCGATCACGAGGATGAGCCTGATGAGGAAGAAGAACATGACCAGTCTGATGATGATCTCCCGATGCTCATCTTCCAGTTCAGCGAAAATGACGATGAAGAAAGTGAATCTTACAATGGATCAGATGACGAAGATGAGCAGAGTGAGGAAGAAGAACTCGATGAGATCACCGAGGACCAAGAGAAAATGTACTTTGCAAAAAAGGAAGATAATGAGAAGAAATTTGATTCAGAGGATGTTCCTCACTTACAGTTGCTTGATTGTAGAGAAGAGATCAGTCAAAAATGTGATCCAGAAGAATTTGATTTGGGTATTCTGTTCAGTGCGGAAGAGCATGATCACAATTTGAATTCAGTGAAAGTGAGTAGCTTATGTTCGCTGGTGGAAAAGATAGAGCCAGATGATGTATGGGATTCAGAAGATGAAAGCAATAAAGATCAGTTCAATGAAATAGAGGT